AAGCAAGCGTCTCGATCGAGACTTTCTCGACACGTCCTCATCCTAGACATCCGCCTGGGCGACCTGGACATGTGAAAACAAGCCTCTGGTTTGAGACATCCTCAACACATCCTCATGCTAGACATCTGTCGGGGCAACCTGGAGGCGTGAAACCAAGCGTCTCGCTCGTGACATCCTCGAGACCTGGGCACGTGAAAACAAGCATTTCACTTGAGAGATCCTCTGAATTCTGGTCCCCAGGAGAGGACAATCTATAACACAAAACAAGCGTTTCGCTCGAGACATCCTCAACAAATTCTGAAAAACAAGCGTTTCGCTAGGGTCATCCTCAAATTTTCATTCGCTGGCCCACCTCGACCTCAATATTCATCGCAAAAGAAATTCGCCGGTCCACCTCAAGTCAAACCCGGGGGTAAACCATCTAAAAGAGAACCCTGGGCTTAAGCCCTTTCAGGGAAAAAAGCAGTGAAAGATGCCCCTCAAGAGATGGCAGCGTTTTGGGGCTTAGGGTTTCTGGAGTCGGTCTTACCCTCGATCTGGTTTGAGCCGTGTTGCAGCCTGGGCGGGCCTCGCGGAGCAGCCTCAGCGCAGTCGAGGCTGAGGCGAGGGCGAACGAGTTGGCCCCCGGGCGGCCGCTGGAACGCCTAGAGGGCTGGAGCACTTCGCAGGGCTCCTTCGGATCCTCGGGCTGCTCCGCCGTCCGCTCCACGCCTCGACACGCCCGCGTCGTGGAGAAACGCGACGGGCGGCTTTGTCAGTTTTCGGCCCGTCGCTGAGCCACGGGGCCGCCAAGAAACGGTTCGGGATGAAAGCCCCGCCCCGGGGAGAGGTCATGGGGCGGCCTAACCGACCTTTGACAAACCTCCCCTTCATTGGAAAAAACAGGACGTCGCAGGTCTGAGTCTGCTCCACGATCTGCTCCTCTGCCTTCTCCAGGTTCACGGCGAGCCGCTGGTGCGAAGGTGGCACAGCATCCGCAGGGAGGAAGCCGCACCTCGCCAGCACCACTGCGACTGGCTCCGCCGGGTGGCAGTGTGGCGGCACCGCGCGCTGCGTTCACGCCTGCGCCATTCCTCCGCATCTCGTCGCTCTCGTCCTGAAGCGCTCTGCTGGCGCTCCCGTCCTCCATGTACTGGTCATTGTTCTCTCCGATTCCCTCGGCCGCCCTGGACCTCTCGGCGATCTGGTTCATCATCTTGTGCAGCCAGGCCAGCTGCTGCCCGATTCTCGACAAACGGCGAACAGCTGAGGCAGCACGACGTCACTCCACTCCCAATCTCCACCACGGCTTCCTGTATGGCTGCCAACCGTGGCAATCAACTCGCGCCAGCATCGCTCTCTTCGATATCCTCACGTCACGAGTCATGGCTCGCGGTGCCCTCGTGGCCTCTACGGCCCCCGTTGTACATCTCGCTGCGCATCAGCTCGTTCCACTGCCTGCGGATCGCGGGGTCGCGCCGAGCCCCGACGGCCCCGATGGCGCGGATCGGCGGCACCGCGCGCCGCGAACAACCCCCCCCGCCCCCCGCAGGAGAGAACGAGGCTTTCCTCCTTGTGCTCCTTGCCTTTTGCTACCTCCCCCCCCACCTCCCCGATCGGCCCTCGTGGGCAACACGCACTGGTGCCAGGAGAGGCTACGGCTGCATGGACTGGCAGCGTGCGGGCTATGCAAGCTCTGCAGGGCAAAAGGGCCAGGGCGCTCTCCCACAGGGTCTACGAGTGTGGCGCCCACGCCAGCCGGAGGCGGACCGTTGCCTCCGCCTTCTTGGTGTCGAGGGCGCGGCAGGCGCAGCGCGAGGGAGCAGTGGCTGCCGAGCGCTTCGCACGCGGGGTGTCCCCTGACCCCCGGCACCTCTGGAGGGGGATCGGCTGCCAGGTGCTCGAGATACACTGGTGGAATCGGCCCAGCGCGCTGCGACTCGCGGGCGTGCTATTCGCAGACGGCTCCGCCTTCTCGCAGGGCGCCTCCCGGGCATTAGCGGGAGGGGGCAATGAGGAAAAGGAGCGGAAGGCGGAGGGGAGGAGGGGGAGGAGGGTTTCGGTCGTTCGGTCGAGGACTACGAGCGGCTCAGTCAGCTGAGCTCGTCCAAGGTGGTGAGAGTATCACAGTCAGCCCACGGCCCAGAGACGACGTCAGGGCGCCGACGATAAGCAACAGTGAGAGAGCACGACGAACACATGAACATACAACGACGAGCAATAACTAGTCGACGCTTAGATCCCCATGTGTGCGCTTGTTTGCCCCCCTGTTTCGCTTCGCGTATCTTTGCGCGAGAGAGAGAGTCTGAAATCTAAACATGAACGCTTATGAGTATGATCATCTGGGAAAAGGTGAGACTGAGTGTGCATGCTTCTGACTGTGAGTGAGTATGTGTGAGTGAATCCATGCGTGTGGGTAGTCTGAGTGTGGGTGTGAGCGTGAGAGGTCTGAGCGCATTTGAGTGTGAGTCGTCTGAGTGTGAGTGTGAGTGTGAGTGTGAGGGGTCTGAGACTATCTGAGAGTGAGTGTGGGTGTGAGAAGCCTGAACGGTCCGAGTGTGAGTAAGAGTTTTCTGAGTGTGAGTGGCCTGAGTGCGAGTGTGAGCTTAGACTACGTGAAGTTGGCATCGAAACAAGCAACCCGCCTCAGACATCCCCACAATCTGGGCCCATTCGGGTGCTGGAACCGGCGCCCCGCTTGAGACATCCTCACAATCTTGAACGCCGATGAGTCTGGGGTCCGAAACAGGGAAACCGCATGATACACCCCCGCAATCTGGTCGCGAACGGGCCCGTGATATACCCCCCCCGGCGGCTTCCCTTGGGGGCGCTGGAACAAGCGCCCCGCCTGAGACGTCCTCAAACTGTTCCGAACACATGGGATGTTGCGCATGCAAGCAGACAGATCATCTGAGACATCCCCACACTCTGGGCGCGAATCATTGAGTGTCTCCACCCGATGTAGATGCAAGCAGGCAAACCGCCTGAGACACCCTCACAGTCTTGGCGCGAATCCTGGAGTGTCTCCACCCCTGGCGTCTCCCCCATTGAGGTGCCCAATTGCCACGCCTGCTATATCGCGGTGCCCGTTAAGTGTGAGTGAGCCTGAGTGAGTCTGCGTGCAATTGAGCTTGAGAACGATTGAGTCTGAGTGCGAGTGAGTGTGAGTGTGAGTGAGTCTGAGCACGTGTGAGTCTGAGTATGAGTGAGTGAGTCTGAGGACGAGGAGGAGGGGGGAGGAGGAGGAGGGTGTGAGATGCGAGGGGGAGGAGGCCAAGAGGCGTCTGAACAGAGCTGTGAGGGGGAGGAGGTCAAGAGGCGTCTGACCTCAGGATATGGAGAACGAGCGACGACACACGACAGCGACAAACCACGACAGCCACAGCGACAGAGCTCAAACGACAAGCAGCAGCGATACACAACACCGGGGAGCCCTACTGCATGGGCTCCTGGGGCGCCGTCCGTGGGCGCCCACTGCCTGCCCCGGCCTGCCCTGGCCGGCCTCGCCCCCCCCCCCCCGCGGCGGGCCAGCAGCCCACCCGACGGCGCCGCCTTCAATGCCCCCCCCCCCCCTGCGGCAGCGCGCGCCGCGTGCCCCTCGCTCGCGGGGTGCCCTCCGCGGGCCGGGGGCGCCGGGTCCGGGCCGCGGTGGGGTGCGGGCCCGGGCGGGGTCCGGGCCGGGCGCGGGCCGTCCCAGAGAGGTCGGTCCCGGGGACCTCGGCATCGCTCGGACGTGTGCACGTTTTCTCGGCGAGAACCATCGAGGACCATCCTGGACCATCGAGCCAAAAAAGACACGCGCGAAACCGAAAAGTGCACGGGAAATGGACGTCCGAGCGACGGCAAGGGGAAGGGGTCAAGACGTCTGTCTGGGGGGAGGGGGAGTGGGCGCAAGTCGCGTGAAGAAGCACGACGTCGGGTGTTTCTGATGGGGAGCACGGAGCCTTCTCTCTGTGCCTCCTGCCCATCTCCTCTTCCTGCCCCTCGTCGCGTTCTCATGGTCCTCCCGCCGCGCCACCCTGTCTCACCCCCTCCACTTTCCCTTCTCCTCCTTCCTCTTCGCCTCCACAATAATACAATATGAAAATACTCTCCCATTTCCCCTGATGGCGTCCCGAAGATATCCGACCCCCCTCCGCGTACTGTTTTTCAACACACAGGATTCCCGGGAAACGGGTTTTCGCTTGCGTTTTTTCCCAAAATGCTGCTCTCGCTGAGGCGCCGGCCTCATTTCTGCTCCCGAATCGTTCCGAATCGTGCTCCCGCTGCAGCGTGGGCCTCATTTTCGGATCGGTGTTTGGCCTCCGTCGTTCAGGATGGCGTTCTCGCCCCAGCGCGGGCCTCTTTCTCGCGCGCCCATCCGCCCGCCACCACCGCGCCGCACCACCACCACCACCACCACCACCACCACCACCACCACCACCACCACACCACCACCACCACGCCACCACCACCACCACCACCACCACCACCACCACCACCACCACCACCACCACCACCACCACCACCACCACCACGACAACCACGCACACACGCACGCACGCACGCACGCGCACCACCACCCACTACGCACGCGCGCGCGGAGCCACAGGTCCGCTACGACACGCGTCCGCGGATAGAGAAAATCAGCGCCATGGTAAGGGATGGGAGGGAGGGGTAGGACGTCAGATATGACGCGAGCGCACCTAGCTTGCCCCTCACCCCCTCCCTCCCTCCCTTCCTCCACGGAGTCTTCGTGTATCTTACCACGCCTGCTTGGCAGTGCGGGCTCCTCGCTTTCTCCTGTCAATCCTCCATGCCTTACGTCCTCCTCGTCCTCCTCCTCCTCCTCCTCCTCCTCCTCCTCCTCCTCCTCCTCCTCCTCCTCCTCCTCCTCTCCTCCTCATCCCCCTCCTCCTCCTCCACCTCCTCCTCCCCCTCCTCCCCTCTTCCTCCCCCTCCTCCTCCTCTTCCTCCTCCTCCTCCTCCCTCCTCATCCCTCCTCATCCTCATCGTCTGCCACCGAAAGAAGCGGCCTCGAGCAAACCTCCATCAGCATAGCGGCGGACCCGACTGGCAGGCACATCGCCACCGGCGGCAACGATTGCTTGGCGACCGCTGCCCATGTGCCGGGCCGAGTCAGGAGCGAAAGAGGGACGTGCTTGCACGAACCCACGCCGGTTTCGAGGAGACGAATTGCGAGAACGTTCGTACCACGCGGCTGGTCTCGCCGATTGAGGGTCCATGTTCGGATGGGGTGCAGAGGGAGGGTTCTCCCAGGGTGGGGCTGGGGAATGGGCCCAGCAGGATGCTCCCGTGTGACGCGTATCCTCCTTCCAGGGGCCGTTTGGGGCGATTTCCCCTCCAACCCCACCTTTGTCCCTGCCCCACCTTTGTTCGGGTATGGCCAGGACCCCGGGTAAGGGGACCAGGTTAGTGGTAGGGCCCCAGAGCCTTCGAACTGGCCAGAATCACTAAACCAGGTTTGCCATAGCTGGTGTTTTTTCGGGTGACAGCAGTTCCGGTTAGTGGAGATGGGACGGGGGGGCGCCCCCGGTACAGATCTCTAAACCAGGTTCCTTTAATCCCAGTTCTGCCAACGCCCGCCTTTGTACCCCCCCGACGTGTTCGTGTACGTGGTCGGGCGAGTGCGTCGATTGTGGGCTCCCTGTCGAAAGGACGGGGCGGGACGACGGGCAGAGCGCCAGACTGCCAGAGGCCACCCTGCTGGGGGCCGCGAGCGTAGCCTCAAGTCGTGCGTGCCCCTCTACAGGAGGAAGGTGCAGGAGTAAGCAAGAATGGTCGGAGCGCTGGACTGTTTTTGTCACCCTTGCGCGAAACAGCTCGCTCCTCCCCTGCCCAAGTGCCGGTTCTGGGGGATTCCGTGAGCACCCTGTATGCTGCTAGCACCCCGTGTCGCCCGCGATGGGCAGCCACTAGGAAGGTGCAGGAATGGTAACAACATGGTCTGGGGGCGGTTGCTCGTGCTCGTTTGGCTATATTTGTTTTGGCTGTGCCTCATTTTTCTTCCAAGCTGCGCCTGCAGGAGGACATGGCCGACCTAACCCAAGCCGCTTTTCGCGACCTGGACAGGAGAGCTGTCCTTCTCCAGGGGGGCGGCCTGACAGCGCGAAGATACCCGCGCTTCGCGCCGTGCGAAGCGCGCAGTGAGGCGACCAAGGATACGTCTTGTCGAGGTGGGGGAGGGAGAGGGGAGCTCGGGCTGAGTCCCGACTCCCGACCCGGCTCCATTTTCGCCATGAACTTTTCGGAGTGCCCCCGCGTGATCGCGCGTAGACAGACGGATACATGTTTTTCCGGTTACAGTCCAGAGCGTTGTGAAGGGGACGGGGGTCGGCAAACGAGTGCTGACATCTCATGGGGGGCGTTGCCGAGACGGCCTCGCCTTGGGTCCATCTCGCCCTCGGCTGAGGCTGGCGGAAGCAGGCGGAAGTGAAACGGTCGCGGGCCCGCGGGCGGAAGGTGGGCGGAAGGTGGCGGCAGCAGAGGTGAGACGCCGACGTCAGCGTTGTGCTCAGAAGTCCCGCACACGGCCATGTGCGACCCACCTCGCTGGCGTCGATAGGCGCCAGGCACCACGTCTTATTCGCACGAGCTCCTCCACTCTCGCTGCGCCCCGCGCTGTGCCATAGGTGACGCTCTGGGACCCGAAGCACCTCATCCTAAACGCCTGCCGGCGGGCCAGTGGCGCCCCCCTGCCCTGAGGAGACGCTCGTGCATGCTGGAGACGCCAATGGCAGGAGATAGTTCCCATCCCTCCTGTGTTGAGTTCTCGGTGTGGATAGTACGTTGTGGTATCCACTCCATCTCCGATCACCTCCTCCTGCCTCCTCCTGCGCTGCTCCCTGAGCGGCTGCGAACTGTGCACCTGCCGCCATTTTCGTGGGCTCCTGGGGGAGCTCGGCGGAGTCGGGGAGTAAACGGATCCAGGCTAGACATCCCAGTTCTTTGGGTGGCTGCGAACTGCGTAATTAAGGCCACTTTCGTGGACTCCTGGGAGGCGCGGCGGAGTCGGGGAGTAAACGGATCCAGACTCGATCTCGCAGCTCCCTGGGTGGCTGCGAGCTGCGCAATTGTCGCTATTTTCGTGGGCTCCTGGGGGGAGGCACGGCGGAGTCGGGGAGTACACGGATCCAGGCTAGACCTCGCAGCTTCCTAGGGGCCTGAGAATTGTGCAAGCATCGCCACGTTCGTGGACTCCTGGGAAGTGCAGCGGAGTCGGGGATCACGCGGATCCAGGCGAGACCTCGCGGCTCCCCGGCTGTCTACGAAATGCGCAATTGTCGTCACATTCGTGGGCTCCTGGAAGCCACGGCGGAGGAGAGGAGGACACGGATTCAGATTAGACCTCGTAGTTCCTTGGGTGGGTGCGAGCTGGCAATTGTCGCCACTTTCGTGGGCTCCTGGGGGGCACGGCGGAGTCGGGGAGTAAACGGATCCGTTTGATACTTCGCAGCTCCTGGGTGGGGGCTAGGCGCACCCCGCCGAGGCGTCGCAGCTCCCTGGATGGCTGCGGGCTGCGCAACAGTCGCCATTTTCGCGGGCTCCTGGGAGGTCCAGCGGAGTCGAGGGCCACGCGCACCCAGCCGAGGCTTCGCAGCTCCCTGGATGGCTGCGAACTGCGCAAATGTCACCACTTTCGTGGGCTCGTGGGAGGTCCAGCCAGAGTCGAGGGCCACGCGCACGCTGACGAGACCTCGCTGTTCCCTGGGGTATCTGCGAACTGCGCAAATGTCGCCATTTTCGTGGGCTCCTGGGAGGCATGGCGGGGTCGGGGGCCACGCGCACTCAGCTGAGGCTTCGCAGCTCCCCGGTTGGCTGCGAACTGCGAAATTGTTCCCACTCTCTTAGGCTCTTGGGCGGTCCATCAGAGACGAGGGCCACGCGCACCCAGACGAGACCCCGCTGCGTCCTGGGTGGCTGCACAGTGCGCAACAGTCGCCGCCTGTGTGATCTCCTGGGAGGTCCAACGGAGTCGGGGGCCACGCGCACCCAGACGTGACCTCGCTGCTCCCTGGGTGTCTGTGAACTTCGCAATTCTCACCACTTTCGTGGGATCCTTGGAGGTCCAGCGGAGTTGGGGGTCACGCGCACCCAAACGAGACCTCGCAGCTCCACGGGTGGCTGCAAGTTGCGCAGTTGTCATCACTTCCGTGGGTTCTTGGGATGTCCGGCGGAGTCGGGGGCCACGCGCATCCAGACGAGACCTCGTTGCTGCTTGGAATGATGTGAACTGCGCAATTGTCGCCACTTTCGTGGGCTCCTGGGAGGTGCAGCGGAGTCGGAGATCGCGCGGATCCTAGTGAGACATCGCGGCTTCCTGGGAGGCTACGACGTGCGCAAGTGTCGCCATGTTTGCAGGCTCGAGGGAGGCACGGCAGAGGTGAGGGCAGCGCAGATCGTGCATGTCTGGTGATGTGTTCTTTCGTTCGGAGCGGCCAGGCAAAATATTCGCCTCGCGTGGAGAAGTAGTTGTGTACGTCTCGGGCCATTTTTATTTGTTGAGCCCGTAACGTCTGTACGTACAGGCCCGTAACGTCTGCAAGTTTTTTTTTCTATGGTGTACGGCCCCCCCCCCCCGTAAAGGTAACTAATGTGCGGGGGGGGCCCTTACCACAGGTACGGCGACGTTCTCAAAGGCATAGTGTGGTGCTGGCAGACATCGGAGGGCCGCCAGACGCCTTCCAGGGCCTCCGGAGACCTCCTGACCTCCTGAGGCCTCCAGAGACTTGTGGAGACCTTCAGTGGCTGCCGTCATCGTCGTCGTCGTTGTCGTCGTCGTCATGGACGTCTTCGTCGTTGTCGTCGTCGTCGTGGTGGTCGTCGTCGTCGTCGTCCTCGTCGTCTTCGTCGTCCTCGTCCTCGTTATCGTCTTCGTCCTCGTCCTCGTCCTCGTCATCCTCGGTGTCGTCGTCGTCGTTATCGTCGTGGTCTTCGTCATCGTGGTCGTCGTCGTCGTCGTCTCCGAGGGCCTCGGAGGTCCTCAAGACGCCTCCCAGAGGCCTCCGTCTTCGTTATCGTTGCCGTCGCCGTCCGTGTCCTCGTCCTTGTTGTCGTCGTCGTCCGGCGCCTGGCCCCCCCCCGCCTCCCCGCGGAGCCCGAACACGTTACCGTTACCCTTCCCCCCCCAACGGGAGCCCGAACCCCCCCCCCCGTCCGTAACGGACGCCACGGCGGGTGTATTCGATGCGGAGATCCCCATATGTGCATTTATACGCCCACACATTAACCGCTGCGAATGTCTCTGTGCGAGAGAGCCTAATCATGAACGGATCTGAGTATGATAATCTGGGAACAGGTAAATTTGTGTTTGAATGAGTCTGAATGGGAGGGAGTCTGAGTGTGAGTGAGTCTACGCGCATGAGTGTGAGTGAATATGAGTCATCTGATTTTGGGCGTAAGCGTGTCAGGTCTGAGTGCATTCGAGTGTAGGTGGTCTGAGTGTGAGTGCGTGTGAGAGAGAACTTTGAGAGCATCTGAGTGTGATTGCGGGTGTGGCAGGTCTGGGAGGTCTGAGTGTGAGTGTCAGTGAGTGGTGTGAGTGTGAGTGTGAGCTCAAGCTACGTGTATTTGGCATCGAGACAAGCAAACGCATGAGACCGACCCACAATCTGGGCCACTTGGGGTGCTGGAGCCAGCGCCCCACTCGAGACATCCTTACAATCTGCTCTGAACGCAGACGAGCCCGGGGTCCGAAACAGGCAAACCGCCTGAGGCATCCCCGCAATCTGAGCCCGAACGGGCCCGTGATATACCTTCTGGCGACTCCCCCGTGGGGCGCTGAAGCCGCCTTTGACATCCTCACAAACTGTTCCGACAACAGAGGATGTGACGCATGCGAACAGGCAAAGTGTCTGAGACGCCCCAACGATCTGGGCGCGGGTCGTGGAGTGTCCCCACCCTGGCGGCTCCCCCTTGGGAGTGCTGAGTCCCGCGCCTGGCCGGAGACATCCTCGACATGTGCACCCACAGCAGAGTATGTCGCGCATGCAAACAGACTCAGGAGGGGAACAAAAAACACAGACACAATTAATCGTCGG